TTCAGAAACCTCGTTGTTCCCAACCGAAAGTGATCCATTTACTTCCTACACCACTACATTCACCACCACCGAATCCGATGGATTTGTTGCTACTGATTCTGGTGTTGTTGTTGTTACCTCCAACAGTGCAGGTAGTGTTATTACCACCACTTCGTTGTTCCCAACCGAAAGTGATCCATTTACTTCCTACACCACTACATTCACCACCACCGAATCCGATGGATTTGTTGCTACTGATTCTGGTGTTGTTGTTGTTACCTCCAACAGTGCAGGTAGTGTTATTACCACCACTTCGTTGTTCCCAACCGAAAGTGATCCATTTACTTCCTACACCACTACATTCACCACCACCGAATCCGATGGATTTGTTGCTACTGATTCTGGTGTTGTTGTTGTTACCTCCAACAGTGACGGATCCTTGACTTCAGAAACCTCGTTGTTCCCAACCGAAAGTGATCCATTTACTTCCTACACCACTACATTCACCACCACCGAATCCGATGGATTTGTTGCTACTGATTCTGGTGTTGTTGTTGTGACCTCCAACAGTGACGGATCCTTGACTTCAGAAACCTCGTTGTTCCCAACCGAAAGTGATCCATTTACTTCGTACACCACTACATTCACCACCACCGAATCCGATGGATTTGTTGCTACTGATTCTGGTGTTGTTGTTGTTACCTCCAACAGTGACGGATCCTTGACTTCAGAAACTTCGTTGTTCCCAACCGAAAGTGATAGTATTAGTTCTTCTTCGGAAGTATCTGAATTTAGCTCAGAAGGCTCCTCGACTTCTACTATTGATTTGAGAATTTCAAGTTCTACTGGTCTGTCATCTTATATTTACTCTTCCAGTGGTTATTATAATAATTCGATATCAGTTTCGGTGTTTTCTCTGTCTGTCGGAATAATCAGTTCTGATTATTTCACTGAATACACCACCACTTTCACCACCACCAACTCGGATGGTTCTGTTTCAACTGATACTGGAGTAGTGATTGCCACCACCAACTCATCCGGCGGTGAATACACCACTACTTCTATTATTTCGGGATCCACAACTAGCGCTTCTTCATCCGATTATTTCACTGAATACACCACCACTTTCACCACCACCAACTCGGATGGTTCTGTTTCAACTGATACTGGAGTAGTGATTGCCACCACCAACTCATCCGGCGGTGAATACACCACTACTTCTATTATTTCGGGATCCACAACTAGTGCTTCTTCATCCGATTATTTCACTGAATATACCACCACTTTCACCACCACCAACTCGGATGGTTCTGTTTCAACTGATACTGGAGTAGTGATTGCCACCACCAACTCATCCGGCGGTGAATATACTACCACTTCTATTATATTTGGATCGACTTCTTCAGCTGCATCATATTCTACAAGTATTGCGGCGGTTGCATCAGATTCATTGACAGAATACACCACCACTTTCACCACCACCAACTCGGACGGTTCTGTTTCAACTGATACTGGAGTAGTGATTGCCACCACCAACTCATCCGGCGGTGAATACACCACCACTTCTATTATTTCGGGATCCACAACTAGTGCTTCTTCATCCGATTATTTCACTGAATACACCACCACTTTCACCACCACCAACTCGGACGGTTCTGTTTCAACTGATACTGGAGTAGTGATTGCCACCACCAACTCATCCGGCGGTGAATACACCACTACTTCTATTATTTCGGGATCCACAACTAGTGCTTCTTCATCCGATTATTTCACTGAATACACCACCACTTTCACCACCACCAACTCGGACGGTTCTGTTTCAACTGATACTGGAGTAGTGATTGCCACCACCAACTCATCCGGCGGTGAATACACCACTACTTCTATTATTTCGGGATCCACAACTAGTGCTTCTTCATCCGATTATTTCACTGAATACACCACCACTTTCACCACCACCAACTCGGATGGTTCTGTTTCAACTGATACTGGAGTAGTGATTGCCACCACCAACTCTTCCGGCGGTGAATACACCACCACTTCCATTATCTCTGGTACTTCTTCGGCTTCGGGTATTGTTGTTTGTCGTAGAGATGGTTCTGGCTGTACGACATTCACAGAGTATACTACTACTTTTACTACAACGGAATCCAACGGATCTGTCGAGACCGATACTGGAATTGTCATTGTTACTACCAATTCGGAAGGTAGCTTATACACAACTACATCTATCTTGAGTGAAACTGAATACACTACTACATTCACTACGACAGAATCCAATGGATCTGTGGAGACCGATACTGGCATTGTTATTGTTACTACCAATTCCGAAGGTAGCTTGTACACTACTACTTCGATCTTGAGTAGTGGAATTATTTCAGTATATACCACTACAGTTACCACCACTGATACTGTTGGGGTTCCATGTACACAAACTGGTGTTGTTGTAGTCAGTACAGATACCGCAGGTAGTACCTATACTACTACTTCTGTTTTAACAGAAACTGTCACGGAACCATGTGAAACTACTACTTTTGCTACTACATTACCTAATGGTAAGGTTTCTAGTGCTACTGGTATCGTTATTGTTACCACCAATGGAGAAGGTAGTACTTATACTACTACTTCTGTTTTAACAGAAACTGTCACGGAACCATGTGAAACTACTACTTTTGCTACTACATTACCTAATGGTAAAGTTTCTAGTGCTACTGGTATCGTTATTGTTACCACCAATGGAGAAGGTAATACTTACACAAGTACCAGCTTACTTGGTAACAGTGGCATTGTTTCTGTCTACACCACCACTGTTGTAACTACAGATACCGTGGGTGTCCCATGTACAAAGACAGCAGCAGTGATCGTAAGTAGTGGCAGCGAAGGAGAGGTCTATACCAGTACTTCAGTTATTGAAACTGTTGGTGCAGAAAGTACTGGTGATGCTGAAGCTGTTACTAGTGCTGGTAATGCAAATCAATCAGCAAACGAAGTTACTGCCACTCTGAGTGTTGCTACTACTGAGACCCAAAATACAATAGTTAGTGGCGTAAGCTCTTCTGTTGCTACGGTCGCTTCTGCTGTTACATCTTCTACATCTCCTTCATCATCTCCATCAATTATTCCAGAGAGTTCAGGAGCATCTGTATCTGTCAGAAAGATCATGTTACTCGTTCCTATTTTGGCTACTTTTTTGGGTGCATTGCTCAATTGAGTACTTTATTGATTACCATTTTTTTCGGTTACTAGAATTTTCTTCAGATTTAATTGATTTCAATTTCAATATTATGGTCGAAAGTGATTATTTTCTAATTTCTTTTGCTTTTGATTAGTTTCTTCAATTTTGGCATGTTATTTATAAAAATTTAAATAGTCGTGTATCCATGACATTATTTATTATGTGTTTTTCAATTCTTCTTTTCGTTCTTTAATATATATATATATATATACTTAACAATAAGTTCTGGGGCCTTAGCTTTTGTATTTCGCTACTACATAGGTTCTACAATAATATCAGTCCTAATTGATAAAAATGAATTGTATTATCTTGGTTGTTGTTAAAATGAATTGGTTATTTAAATTTCAGAGAAAGTTTATGTTAATTATCGCCTTCCTTCTAGCATAGACTAAAAATAACAAAGATAAAGTAAGATTATTATAATATCGTATATTCAAATGAAAAATGAAATATTTAGGATGCGCGCCATGGTTTTGCATAAACTAAACGAGAAGCAGGATATGACTAAGGGATTTACTGTACATCCAGAGAGCCCCACTTTGAAGCAGAATTTGAAATTCTTTCTAGAACTTCACGCTTCTGAGTTTCAACTGTTCTAGGACAGGTGAAATTGTCCGGCTAAATAGCCAATATGTAAGTATCATAGGAGATTTTGTAATCATGAATTTATTTTTTCACCAACTCAAATTTTTAGTATAGGAAATTATAAGCCTGAAATTTTCTCTCCTTCTCGGACATTTGCTCGCCTGTTGTAATTCGTTCGGTTGACTTTTTTTCACGTAAAGCATAATTAGCCGAGTGCTTAATAAACTTTCCAGATCTCAATATAGACATTTTAAGTTTACCTCTTTATCTGAAACTAGAATATGTTAAAGAAATACTAAATCATAAAATTTTTGAGTAGTTTGCTATTAGCTGAATTACTGAAGATAAACTTAGGATACGGGAGTAGCAGGGCGCTTAGTTTGGTTATTTTGTTAGCTTGGACCCTCCTCAAAAGGTTGTCGTGTCCAAGTCGACGATGCACATGAAAGAAGGAAAAAATATGTCTGATAGACCCTTCATATTACTTTGTCAGAGCAGGTTATTGCTGAATATGGAAATTTGGCTGCAGGATGAGATAATTTTTGAGTATATGTACGCAGAGAAAACATATGTATGTCAACACCGCATTTCTATTGTTTGCAACAAGGATTAATTGATTTTTGACATAATTTACGGTTTAATTGAAAAGAATTTCTCTTAGAGTTATTAGAGATTCCTATTATCGATCGGTTTGATTTGTTTTATTTATTGATTCATGTTGCAGATTAAATTAACATATACGAACTTACAGTGATTCTCTTAATGTGAGATGTTCGTAAGACTGGTGATAGTAGATCATGAAACTATGAGGCTGATGTTTACTTTAAATCCATTTTTCAGCACTACTTAGAATCGTAATGTCCGCCTCGATATCATGAAATTCATAAATATTTTCTTTGGAGACTTTAACCAACTATGAAAATATATTATTTTATAAGTCTTAATAGTAGGTTTATTGGCAGCACTTCAACCGAAGGGTTATGATTTACGTCATAATCCTTTTAACATGATGCATCGATTAATGAAATTAGATTACAAGTACAACTAAAGCGCTTCTTAAAAGATCCCAAGGTATTCAATATATAAGAAATCAAAAATTTCCTGATGTTTTTACATAAGCTTTAACCTATTATTGCTAAGGTTGACTATTTGTTATATTAAGAATTCTTTTTTATCCTACTTTAGAATAGCTCTTATAAGAATGAGAGGGCTTAGCTTAGTTGTGACTGTACTACTACAGTTAACTTTAGTATTTACCGCAGAGGTCAGTCAAGACACTGTCGATTACGGTCTCATTGATTTTTCTATTGGAGCCACCACAATAGATCCAAATGTCTATTGGTCTATCATCAACAATCAGGTTACTGACTTGAATGGTAACGTTCAGGTCGATAATGGCGGGGGATTATATGTCACCAGTATTTCTAACTTAATTGGTTTAAATGTTAATTTAAATGGTAACGTCCTTAATAATGGTACCATTTCCTTCAACTCAGTAGGATCAATTCTTCCAAGTAATTATGTTGTAACCACGGGTATCGCAGGAGCATTGGGAACCTTTGTTAACAATGGTGAATTTGTCATGGCTTCTAGTGGAGCTCTTGGTTATGGTTATATGACAATTAGTACAGGAACTTTAACTAATAACGGTTTGATGATTTTCTACGATACTCAGAATGCCGGTGGTCAAGTTGTTCTTGGAGGACCAAATATTGGTAGCGGTATGACCAATAATGGTCAAATTTGTTTGTATAATGAACTTTATCAACAACAATCCGGTATTGCGGGAACTGGTTGTATCACCATGCAAGCCAACTCCACTACATATCTTCATGATCCTTTAGCATCTTTCTCTGGTCAAACCTTCTACTTAGCTGATAGTGCTTCGAGTATTATTTCTTCGCCTACTGGTAATATCATTTACAGTGGTAATCCAGTAACTGTAGCTGGATACGGTAATGGGAATATGGTTGCATTGGATGTTACATTGAATCCACTTAATCCATATTCATACAGTACAAGTACAGGGATTTTAACACTTAACAGTATAACTTTAGGGCTGCAAGAATTTGATATCGGTAAAGGCTATAACAGTCAAGATTTTGCTGTAACAACGGATTGGGACGCTGTTTCTGATTTAGCTATTGCTCCGCTTAATGCTGTCACATATACCGGACCTGTGCCGAACCCCACCAAACCTAGTATCTGTGCCTTATGTGATATTCTTCCCAGCATACCTGGTATCAATGGTACCGAGTACACCACCAGTACAATTGTAACCGAAAGTGGAACGGTTTGTACTGATATTGAAGAAATCATCGTCACCACCGATACCAACGGAGAATTTTATAATTCCACAATCCTATTAACTGCAGAATGTTCAATTCCACCATATACACTTTATACCACCACATTCACCACCACCGAATCTGATGGATTTATAGAAACAGATTCCGGAATAGTACTGGTTACCACCAATTCTCAAGGACTGTTATATACATCAACATCATTATTTCCAACACCAAGTGATCCATTTACTTCGTACACCACTACATTCACCACCACCGAATCCGATGGATTTGTTGCTACTGATTCCGGTATTGTTGTTGTCACTGGATATTCCGACGGAAGCATCTACACAACGACTTCGTTATTCCCAACCGAAAGTGATCCATTTACTTCGTACACCACTACATTCACCACCACCGAATCCGATGGATTTGTTGCTACTGATTCTGGTGTTGTTGTTGTTACCTCCAACAGTGACGGATCCTTGACTTCAGAAACCTCGTTGTTCCCAACCGAAAGTGATCCATTTACTTCGTACACCACTACATTCACCACCACCGAATCCGATGGATTTGTTGCTACTGATTCTGGTGTTGTTGTTGTTACTTCCAACAGTGACGGATCCTTGACTTCAGAAACCTCGTTGTTCCCAACCGAAAGTGATCCATTTACTTCCTACACCACTACATTCACCACCACCGAATCCGATGGATTTGTTGCTACTGATTCTGGTGTTGTTGTTGTGACCTCCAACAGTGACGGATCCTTGACTTCAGAAACCTCGTTGTTCCCAACCGAAAGTGATCCATTTACTTCGTACACCACTACATTCACCACCACCGAATCCGATGGATTTGTTGCTACTGATTCTGGTGTTGTTGTTGTTACCTCCAACAGTGACGGATCCTTGACTTCAGAAACCTCGTTGTTCCCAACCGAAAGTGATCCATTTACTTCCTACACCACTACATTCACCACCACCGAATCCGATGGATTTGTTGCTACTGATTCTGGTGTTGTTGTTGTGACCTCCAACAGTGACGGATCCTTGACTTCAGAAACCTCGTTGTTCCCAACCGAAAGTGATCCATTTACTTCCTACACCACTACATTCACCACCACCGAATCCGATGGATTTGTTGCTACTGATTCTGGTGTTGTTGTTGTTACCTCCAACAGTGACGGATCCTTGACTTCAGAAACCTCGTTGTTCCCAACCGAAAGTGATCCATTTACTTCCTACACCACTACATTCACCACCACCGAATCCGATGGATTTGTTGCTACTGATTCTGGTGTTGTTGTTGTGACCTCCAACAGTGCAGGTAGTGTTATTACCACCACTTCGTTGTTCCCAACCGAAAGTGATCCATTTACTTCCTACACCACTACATTCACCACCACCGAATCCGATGGATTTGTTGCTACTGATTCTGGTGTTGTTGTTGTTACCTCCAACAGTGACGGATCCTTGACTTCAGAAACCTCGTTGTTCCCAACCGAAAGTGATCCATTTACTTCGTACACCACTACATTCACCACCACCGAATCCGATGGATTTGTTGCTACTGATTCTGGTGTTGTTGTTGTTACCTCCAACAGTGACGGATCCTTGACTTCAGAAACCTCGTTGTTCCCAACCGAAAGTGATCCATTTACTTCGTACACCACTACATTCACCACCACCGAATCCGATGGATTTGTTGCTACTGATTCTGGTGTTGTTGTTGTTACCTCCAACAGTGACGGATCCTTGACTTCAGAAACCTCGTTGTTCCCAACCGAAAGTGATCCATTTACTTCGTACACCACTACATTCACCACCACCGAATCCGATGGATTTGTTGCTACTGATTCTGGTGTTGTTGTTGTTACCTCCAACAGTGACGGATCCTTGACTTCAGAAACCTCGTTGTTCCCAACCGAAAGTGATCCATTTACTTCGTACACCACTACATTCACCACCACCGAATCCGATGGATTTGTTGCTACTGATTCCGGTGTTGTTGTTGTTACCTCCAACAGTGACGGATCCTTGACTTCAGAAACCTCGTTGTTCCCAACCGAAAGTGATAGTATTAGTTCTTCTTCGGAAGTATCTGAATTTAGCTCAGAAGGCTCCTCGACTTCTACTATTGATTTGAGAATTTCAAGTTCTACTGGTCTGTCATCTTATATTTACTCTTCCAGTGGTTATTATAATAATTCGATATCAGTTTCGGCGTTTTCTCTGTCTGTCGGAATAATCAGTTCTGATTATTTCACTGAATACACCACCACTTTCACCACCACCAACTCGGACGGTTCTGTTTCAACTGATACTGGAGTAGTGATTGCCACCACCAACTCATCCGGCGGTGAATACACCACCACTTCTATTATTTCGGGATCCACAACTAGTGCTTCTTCATCCGATTCTTTCACTGAATACACCACCACTTTCACCACCACCAACTCGGATGGTTCTGTTTCAACTGATACTGGAGTAGTGATTGCCACCACCAACTCATCCGGCGGTGAATACACCACTACTTCTATTATTTCGGGATCTACAACTAGCGCTTCTTCATCCGATTATTTCACTGAATACACCACCACTTTCACCACCACCAACTCGGATGGTTCTGTTTCAACTGATACTGGAGTAGTGATTGCCACCACCAACTCATCCGGCGGTGAATACACCACTACTTCTATTATTTCGGGATCCACAACTAGTGCTTCTTCATCCGATTATTTCACTGAATATACCACCACTTTCACCACCACCAACTCGGACGGTTCTGTTTCAACTGATACTGGAGTAGTGATTGCCACCACCAACTCATCCGGCGGTGAATACACCACTACTTCTATTATTTCGGGATCCACAACTAGTGCTTCTTCATCCGATTATTTCACTGAATATACCACCACTTTCACCACCACCAACTCGGACGGTTCTGTTTCAACTGATACTGGAGTAGTGATTGCCACCACCAACTCATCCGGCGGTGAATACACCACTACTTCTATTATTTCGGGATCCACAACTAGTGCTTCTTCATCCGATTATTTCACTGAATATACCACCACTTTCACCACCACCAACTCGGATGGTTCTGTTTCAACTGATACTGGAGTAGTGATTGCCACCACCAACTCATCCGGCGGTGAATATACTACCACTTCTATTATATTTGGATCGACTTCTTCAGCTGCATCATATTCTACAAGTATTGCGGCGGTTGCATCAGATTCATTGACAGAATACACCACCACTTTCACCACCACCAACTCGGACGGTTCTGTTTCAACTGATACTGGAGTAGTGATTGCCACCACCAACTCATCCGGCGGTGAATACACCACTACTTCTATTATTTCGGGATCCACAACTAGTGCTTCTTCATCCGATTCTTTCACTGAATACACCACCACTTTCACCACCACCAACTCGGATGGTTCTGTTTCAACTGATACTGGAGTAGTGATTGCCACCACCAACTCATCCGGCGGTGAATACACCACCACTTCCATTATCTCTGGTACTTCTTCGGCTTCGGGTATTGTTGTTTGTCGTAGAGATGGTTCTGGCTGTACGACATTCACAGAGTATACTACTACTTTTACTACAACGGAATCCAACGGATCTGTCGAGACCGATACTGGAATTGTCATTGTTACTACCAATTCGGAAGGTAGCTTATACACAACTACATCTATCTTGAGTGAAACTGAATACACTACTACATTCACTACGACAGAATCCAATGGATCTGTGGAGACCGATACTGGCATTGTTATTGTTACTACCAATTCCGAAGGTAGCTTGTACACTACTACTTCGATCTTGAGTAGTGGAATTATTTCAGTATATACCACTACAGTTACCACCACTGATACTGTTGGGGTTCCATGTACACAAACTGGTGTTGTTGTAGTCAGTACAGATACCGCAGGTAGTACCTATACTACTACTTCTGTTTTAACAGAAACTGTCACGGAACCATGTGAAACTACTACTTTTGCTACTACATTACCTAATGGTAAGGTTTCTAGTGCTACTGGTATCGTTATTGTTACCACCAATGGAGAAGGTAGTACTTATACTACTACTTCTGTTTTAACAGAAACTGTCACGGAACCATGTGAAACTACTACTTTTGCTACTACATTACCTAATGGTAAAGTTTCTAGTGCTACTGGTATCGTTATTGTTACCACCAATGGAGAAGGTAATACTTACACAAGTACCAGCTTACTTGGTAACAGTGGCATTGTTTCTGTCTACACCACCACTGTTGTAACTACAGATACCGTGGGTGTCCCATGTACAAAGACAGCAGCAGTGATCGTAAGTAGTGGCAGCGAAGGAGAGGTCTATACCAGTACTTCAGTTATTGAAACTGTTGGTGCAGAAAGTACTGGTGATGCTGAAGCTGTTACTAGTGCTGGTAATGCAAATCAATCAGCAAACGAAGTTACTGCCACTCTGAGTGTTGCTACTACTGAGACCCAAAATACAATAGTTAGTGGCGTAAGCTCTTCTGTTGCTACGGTCGCTTCTGCTGTTACATCTTCTACATCTCCTTCATCATCTCCATCAATTATTCCAGAGAGTTCAGGAGCATCTGTATCTGTCAGAAAGATCATGTTACTCGTTCCTATTTTGGCTACTTTTTTGGGTGCATTGCTCAATTGAGTACTTTATTGATTACCATTTTTTTCGGTTACTAGAATTTTCTTCAGATTTAATTGATTTCAATTTCAATATTATGGTCGAAAGTGATTATTTTCTAATTTCTTTTGCTTTTGATTAGTTTCTTCAATTTTGGCATGTTATTTATAAAAATTTAAATAGTCGTGTATCCATGACATTATTTATTATGTGTTTTTCAATTCTTCTTTTCGTTCTAATATTAATATATGTAATTATTATTTTAATATGTCAGAAAGGCTACAATCATGCTTTAGATAAAAGTGAGTAATGTTAGTTAGTGCGTGTTCACTTAGATTGAGTCGAATGCTAGATACATCTTAGATTGAGAGTAATGCTAGATACATAAGATGATTTCGCTTGATAGGTCGATGCAAAGACCAAACGTAGTACTCATTTGTAATGGTAATGGGTGAAAATTAACAAAAACTTTCAATTAGAATATCAGATGTAGTTTTCAATAAGTAACAGAGAAACAACACAGAGTCAGTTGTAATTGGACTGGAATGGATATTTACACAAGATCACTTAATGTGAAACGTGGTGTAATCCTTCTAGAACTTGAGGCTTTTGATTCTAAGAAATTCTGAAATTGAGTGCCACTGTTTATAAAAAGTGACTTATGTAATTATGGATTTATTTTTCGCTGTTAATTTTCAGAAATATTCCTGAAATTTCCGGTGTTCCCCGGCTACGATTGTCATTTATGCAGTATAATTGAACGAGTGTATTGGATGTCAGACAAAGTTATGTATCTGATATCATATACAAATATTTCAATGAAGAAAGTAGGAGCAAAGTAGGAGTGTCTGAACTCAATTTGTAAACTTCTGAACTGGTACCAGATTAGTTCTTCACTCATCTCAAGATATTGACTTGTACGCTTCGTGAAAAATAAGTTTGGTAGACCCTTCCTATTTGAGGGTCCCTTGAAAATACTCAAAAGGGAAATTAAGTGCAGGATGAAACAATAACTCAGCAATGCAGAGAAAGAATCTGTACATCAACACCGCATTTTGCATTGTTTGTTTCCGCTCAAAGCGCTTTGACACACTGTCCATTAAATTATTTCAGATGCAACACTTTAGCCTTAAAAAGAGATTTATCAACCTAATTGTAGCCAATCTTAGAGCATATAATAAAAAAAAGGCTTGAGATTGCGATCTGAGGCTCAAACAGTCTTCCAGTATTGTGGATCGTATCCTAGTATGTTGGATTTTCGCTATTATATGCTTAACCTTAAGAGGCATATGAAATAAATTGTATGCAGTATGGAATTGTCATCTTTTTATTAAGTTCAGGCTATCTTGCCGAATATGTTGCATGTCACTAATTTTCGTAAATGATATGCATTTGATGTCTATCATAGATTTGTTAGCTTACTTCTAAAACATATATGGTCATTATATAACATTACTTCACGCATGCTTCAGTATTCTTTTTATTCACACGCAGTATAATTTATATGTTGCTCTATATTTGAAAATAATCTTGTTGGTTCAGTAAAATAGCAAGAGAAACTTCAGGTGAAATAGTGCATATGTCATATAAAGCAACGAGAGAGGCGGGTCAGAGTTAAACTATTTAGATCGTATCGATTCATCAATCAAGAATGAATCTCATTCGTAATTTTCCCATAAATCCGTAAGAATGGCGCCTGGAATGTATTGAATATAATTATATACAAAACATAATGCCACTGTTATATGGCTTTCTTGATTACTTTAAGATGTTTTTGAAATGCATTGGAATATTGTCTTTCTGAATACTTGCAAGATATCACGACTAAACCTAGGCAGGCAGTTTTCTATATTAATATATAAGATCTGCTCCGAAGTGTTGTCTTTAGAAGCATATTATACATGTACAAAGTCATAATATTGATCGTTTCACACATTGCTCTTCTTTTTTTTTTTTCGCATGGACTAAAGTTTTGATGTAGCCAAATGCCTAAAATTTGTGTATTTTCGTTAGAGAAACACCTTTCGATTTTAGTCTTAAAACCATGCTACTATAGAGAGCCATTATATAATTAAATGAATCTAATTGACTAAGATTGATTAGAAATACACTATATTTGTTATTTTGAATCTTCTACCATAAGTATCTTAATCTTTCTTGTTTACGATAGAAAGGTTAACCAGTCTAACTTATGCTAATCCTATTATCATGACCTATGTCTCCCCAAAATGAGATGGTATTCGAAATCGAAATTCCGAGGCTTCTGTGGACTTTATATCCCCATTATAGCTATTCTAATAGCTTAATATGAATTTCACAAATATTCTCATACGAAGTTAGAAAATAAAATATTTTTAAGCCTTGGAACAAATTTATTAGCAGCTATTCAATCGAAGGGTCTAAGATTTACCGAAGTTATAGGTTTTAGACATTTATCATTTAACATAATGACTACTGAAACTAGATTTCAAGGATACAAAATGAATTCCCGTAAGATCTCAAGGAGTTGAGTATATAATAAATTAGATTCGTTCTGATTTACAAACGCTGCAAAAGAATCATCGCCTAATTGTTTAAGCTAGTTGATATCTTTTACTATCCTATCAATCTTACTTTTAGTTCTTCCAAAAGTTAGAATAGCTCTTAGAGATTAATAAGAATGAGAGGGCTTAGCTTAGTTGTGACTGTACTACTACAGTTAACTTTAGTATTTACCGCAGAGGTCAGTCAAGACACTGTCGATTACGGTCTCATTGATTTTTCTATTGGAGCCACCACAATAGATCCAAATGTCTATTGGTCTATCATCAACAATCAGGTTACTGACTTGAATGGTAACGTTCAGGTCGATAATGGCGGGGGATTATATGTCACCAGTATTTCTAACTTAATTGGTTTAAATGTTAATTTAAATGGTAACGTCCTTAATAATGGTACCATTTCCTTCAACTCAGTAGGATCAATTCTTCCAAGTAATTATGTTGTAACCACGGGTATCGCAGGAGCATTGGGAACCTTTGTTAACAATGGTGAATTTGTCATGGCTTCTAGTGGAGCTCTTGGTTATGGTTATATGACAATTAGTACAGGAACTTTAACTAATAAAGGTTTGATGATTTTCTACGATACTCAGAATGTCGGTGGTCAAGTTGTTCTTGGAGGACCAAATATTGGTAGCGGTATGACCAACAATGGTCAAATTTGTTTGTATAATGAACTTTATCAACAACAATCCGGTATTGCGGGAACTGGTTGTATCACCATGCAAGCCAACTCCACTACATATCTTCATGATCCATTAGCATCTTTCTCTGGTCAAACCTTCTACTTAGCTGATAGTGCTTCGAGTATTATTTCTTCGCCTACTGGTAATATCATTTACAGTGGTAATCCAGTAACTGTAGCTGGATACGGTAATGGGAATATGGTTGCATTGGATGTTACATTGAATCCACTTAATCCATATTCATACAGTACAAGTACAGGGATTTTAACACTTAACAGTATAACTTTAGGGCTGCAAGAATTTGATATCGGTAAAGGCTATAACAGTCAAGATTTTGCTGTAACAACGGATTGGGACGCTGTTTCTGATTTAGCTATTGCTCCGCTTAATGCTGTCACATATACCGGACCTGTGCCGAACCCCACCAAACCTAGTATCTGTGCCTTATGTGATATTCTTCCCAGCATACCTGGTATCAATGGTACCGAGTACACCACCAGTACAATTGTAACCGAAAGTGGAACGGTTTGTACTGATATTGAAGAAATCATCGTCACCACCGATACCAACGGAGAATTTTATAATTCCACAATCCTATTAACTGCAGAATGTTCAATTCCACCATATACACTTTATACCACCACATTCACCACCACCGAATCTGATGGATTTATAGAAACAGATTCCGGAATAGTACTGGTTACCACCAATTCTCAAGGACTGTTATATACATCAACATCATTATTTCCAACACCAAGTGATCCATTTACTTCGTACACCACTACATTCACCACCACCGAATCCGATGGATTTGTTGCTACTGATTCCGGTATTGTTGTTGTCACTGGATATTCCGACGGAAGCATCTACACAACGACTTCGTTATTCCCAACCGAAAGTGATCCATTTACTTCGTACACCACTACATTCACCACCACCGAATCCGATGGATTTGTTGCTACTGATTCTGGTGTTGTTGTTGTTACCTCCAACAGTGACGGATCCTTGACTTCAGAAACCTCGTTGTTCCCAACCGAAAGTGATCCATTTACTTCCTACACCACTACATTCACCACCACCGAATCCGATGGATTTGTTGCTACTGATTCTGGTGTTGTTGTTGTTACCTCCAACAGTGACGGATCCTTGACTTCAGAAACCTCGTTGTTCCCAACCGAAAGTGATCCATTTACTTCGTACACCACTACATTCACCACCACCGAATCCGATGGATTTGTTGCTACTGATTCTGGTGTTGTTGTTGTGACCTCCAACAGTGACGGATCCTTGACTTCAGAAACCTCGTTGTTCCCAACCGAAAGTGATCCATTTACTTCCTACACCACTACATTCACCACCACCGAATCCGATGGATTTGTTGCTACTGATTCTGGTGTTGTTGTTGTTACCTCCAACAGTGACGGATCCTTGACTTCAGAAACCTCGTTGTTCCCAACCGAAAGTGATCCATTTACTTCGTACACCACTACATTCACCACCACCGAATCCGATGGATTTGTTGCTACTGATTCTGGTGTTGTTGTTGTTACCTCCAACAGTGACGGATCCTTGACTTCAGAAACCTCGTTGTTCCCAACCGAAAGTGATCCATTTACTTCCTACACCACTACATTCACCACCACCGAATCCGATGGATTTGTTGCTACTGATTCTGGTGTTGTTGTTGTTACCTCCAACAGTGACGGATCCTTGACTTCAGAAACCTCGTTGTTCCCAACCGAAAGTGATCCATTTACTTCGTACACCACTACATTCACCACCACCGAATCCGATGGATTTGTTGCTACTGATTCTGGTGTTGTTGTTGTTACCTCCAACAGTGACGGATCCTTGACTTCAGAAACCTCGTTGTTCCCAACCGAAAGTGATCCATTTACTTCGTACACCACTACATTCACCACCACCGAATCCGATGGATTTGTTGCTACTGATTCTGGTGTTGTTGTTGTTACCTCCAACAGTGACGGATCCTTGACTTCAGAAACCTCGTTGTTCCCAACCGAAAGTGATCCATTTACTTCCTACACCACTACATTCACCACCACCGAATCCGATGGATTTGTTGCTACTGATTCTGGTGTTGTTGTTGTTACTTCCAACAGTGACGGATCCTTGACTTCAGAAACCTCGTTGTTCCCAACCGAAAGTGATCCATTTACTTCCTACACCACTACATTCACCACCACCGAATCCGATGGATTTGTTGCTACTGATTCTGGTGTTGTTGTTGTTACCTCCAACAGTGACGGATCCTTGACTTCAGAAACCTCGTTGTTCCCAACCGAAAGTGATCCATTTACTTCCTACACCACTACATTCACCACCACCGAATCCGATGGATTTGTTGCTACTGATTCTGGTGTTGTTGTTGTTACCTCCAACAGTGACGGATCCTTGACTTCAGAAACCTCGTTGTTCCCAACCGAAAGTGATCCATTTACTTCGTACACCACTACATTCACCACCACCGAATCCGATGGATTTGTTGCTACTGATTCTGGTGTTGTTGTTGTTACTTCCAACAGTGACGGATCCTTGACTTCAGAAACCTCGTTGTTCCCAACCGAAAGTGATCCATTTACTTCCTACACCACTACATTCACCACCACCGAATCCGATGGATTTGTTGCTACTGATTCTGGTGTTGTTGTTGTGACCTCCAACAGTGCAGGTAGTGTTATTACCACCACTTCGTTGTTCCCAACCGAAAGTGATCCATTTACTTCCTACACCACTACATTCACCACCACCGAATCCGATGGATTTGTTGCTACTGATTCTGGTGTTGTTGTTGTGACCTCCAACAGTGCAGGTAGTGTTATTACCACCACTTCGTTGTTCCCAACCGAAAGTGATCCATTTACTTCCTACACCACTACATTCACCACCACCGAATCCGATGGATTTGTTGCTACTGATTCTGGTGTTGTTGTTGTGACCTCCAACAGTGACGGATCCTTGACTTCAGAAACCTCGTTGTTCCCAACCGAAAGTGATCCATTTACTTCGTACACCACTACATTCACCACCACCGAATCCGATGGATTTGTTGCTACTGATTCTGGTGTTGTTGTTGTTACCTCCAACAGTGACGGATCCTTGACTTCAGAAACCTCGTTGTTCCCAACCGAAAGTGATCCATTTACTTCGTACACCACTACATTCACCACCACCGAATCCGATGGATTTGTTGCTACTGATTCTGGTGTTGTTGTTGTGACCTCCAACAGTGCAGGTAGTGTTATTACCACCACTTCGTTGTTCCCAACCGAAAGTGATCCATTTACTTCCTACACCACTACATTCACCACCACCGAATCCGATGGATTTGTTGCTACTGATTCTGGTGTTGTTGTTGTGACCTCCAACAGTGACGGATCCTTGACTTCAGAAACCTCGTTGTTCCCAACCGAAAGTGATCCATTTACTTCCTACACCACTACATTCACCACCACCGAATCCGATGGATTTGTTGCTACTGATTCTGGTGTTGTTGTTGTGACCTCCAACAGTGACGGATCCTTGACTTCAGAAACCTCGTTGTTCCCAACCGAAAGTGATCCATTTACTTCGTACACCACTACATTCACCACCACCGAATCCGATGGATTTGTTGCTACTGATTCTGGTGTTGTTGTTGTTACCTCCAACAGTGCAGGTAGTGTTATTACCACCACTTCGTTGTTCCCAACCGAAAGTGATCCATTTACTTCCTACACCACTACATTCACCACCACCGAATCCGATGGATTTGTTGCTACTGATTCTGGTGTTGTTGTTGTGACCTCCAACAGTGCAGGTAGTGTTATTACCACCACTTCGTTGTTCCCAACCGAAAGTGATCCATTTACTTCCTACACCACTACATTCACCACCACCGAATCCGATGGATTTGTTGCTACTGATTCTGGTGTTGTTGTTGTGACCTCCAACAGTGACGGATCCTTGACTTCAGAAACCTCGTTGTTCCCAACCGAAAGTGATCCATTTACTTCCTACACCACTACATTCACCACCACCGAATCCGATGGATTTGTTGCTACTGATTCTGGTGTTGTTGTTGTGACCTCCAACAGTGACGGATCCTTGACTTCAGAAACCTCGTTGTTCCCAACCGAAAGTGATCCATTTACTTCGTACACCACTACATTCACCACCACCGAATCCGATGGATTTGTTGCTACTGATTCTGGTGTTGTTGTTGTTACCTCCAACAGTGACGGATCCTTGACTTCAGAAACCTCGTTGTTCCCAACCGAAAGTGATCCATTTACTTCCTACACCACTACATTCACCACCACCGAATCCGATGGATTTGTTGCTACTGATTCTGGTGTTGTTGTTGTGACCTCCAACAGTGACGGATCCTTGACTTCAGAAACCTCGTTGTTCCCAACCGAAAGTGATCCATTTACTTCCTACACCACTACATTCACCACCACCGAATCCGATGGATTTGTTGCTACTGATTCTGGTGTTGTTGTTGTTACCTCCAACAGTGACGGATCCTTGACTTCAGAAACCTCGTTGTTCCCAACCGAAAGTGATCCATTTACTTCCTACACCACTACATTCACCACCACCGAATCCGATGGATTTGTTGCTACTGATTCTGGTGTTGTTGTTGTGACCTCCAACAGTGCAGGTAGTGTTATTACCACCACTTCGTTGTTCCCAACCGAAAGTGATCCATTTACTTCCTACACCACTACATTCACCACCACCGAATCCGATGGATTTGTTGCTACTGATTCTGGTGTTGTTGTTGTGACCTCCAACAGTGCAGGTAGTGTTATTACCACCACTTCGTTGTTCCCAACCGAAAGTGATCCATTTACTTCGTACACCACTACATTCACCACCACCGAATCCGATGGATTTGTTGCTACTGATTCTGGTGTTGTTGTTGTGACCTCCAACAGTGCAGGTAGTGTTATTACCACCACTTCGTTGTTCCCAACCGAAAGTGATCCATTTACTTCGTACACCACTACATTCACCACCACCGAATCCGATGGATTTGTTGCTACTGATTCTGGTGTTGTTGTTGTGACCTCCAACAGTGCAGGTAGTGTTATTACCACCACTTCGTTGTTCCCAACCGAAAGTGATCCATTTACTTCCTACACCACTACATTCACCACCACCGAATCCGATGGATTTGTTGCTACTGATTCTGGTGTTGTTGTTGTGACCTCCAACAGTGACGGATCCTTGACTTCAGAAACCTCGTTGTTCCCAACCGAAAGTGATCCATTTACTTCCTACACCACTACATTCACCACCACCGAATCCGATGGATTTGTTGCTACTGATTCTGGTGTTGTTGTTGTTACCTCCAACAGTGACGGATCCTTGACTTCAGAAACCTCGTTGTTCCCAACCGAAAGTGATCCATTTACTTCCTACACCACTACATTCACCACCACCGAATCCGATGGATTTGTTGCTACTGATTCTGGTGTTGTTGTTGTGACCTCCAACAGTGCAGGTAGTGTTATTACCACCACTTCGTTGTTCCCAACCGAAAGTGATCCATTTACTTCGTACACCACTACATTCACCACCACCGAATCCGATGGATTTGTTGCTACTGATTCTGGTGTTGTTGTTGTGACCTCCAACAGTGCAGGTAGTGTTATTACCACCACTTCGTTGTTCCCAACCGAAAG